AATGAATGAATTGTGTTTTAGAGAAGTAATTAAACTAACATGAATGGGTTCTGTTTTAGACAAGAAGTTACACTAACATGGGTGGGGTTGTGTTTGAGAGAAGTAGTTACACTAACATGGGTTGGTTGTGTTTCAGAGAAGTAGTTACACTAACATGGGTTGGTTGTGTTTCAGAGAAGTAGTTACACTAACATGGGTGAGTTGTGTTTTAGAGAAGTAGTTACACTAACATGGTCGGGTTGTGTAGTTACACTAACATGGGTGGGGTTGTGTTTCAGAGAAGTAGTTACACTAACATGGGTGGGGTTGTGTTTCAGAGAAGTAGTTACACTAACATGGGTGGGTTGCGTTTCAGAGAAGAAGTTACACTAACATGGGTGGGTTGTGTTTCAGAGAAGAAGTTACACTAACATGGGTGGGTTGTGTTTCAGAAAAGTAGTTACACTAACATGGGTGGGTTGTGTTTTAGAGAAGTAGTTACACTAACATGGGTGGGTTGTGCTTCAGAGAAGAAGTTACACTAACATGGGTGGTTGTGCTTCAGAGAAGCAGGAATTACACTAACATGGGTGGGGCTGTGTTTCAGAGAAGAATTACACTAACATGGGTGGGTTGTGTTTTAGAGAAGAAGTTACACTAACATGGGTGGGGTTGTGTTTCAGAGCAGCAGTTACACTAACATGGGTGGGTTGTGTTTCAGAGAAGCAGTTACACTAACATGGGTGAGTTGTGTTTTTAGAGAAGTAGTTACACCTAACATGGTCGGGCTGTGTAGTTACACCAACATGGGTGGGGTTGTGTTTCAGAGAAGTAGTTACACTAACATGGGTGGGGTTGTGTTTCAGAGAAGTAGTTACACTAACATGGGTGGGTTGTGTTTTAGAGAAGTAGTTACACTAACATGGGTGGGGTTGTGCTTCAGAGAAGTAGTTACACTAACATGGGTGGGGTTGTGTTTCAGAGAAGTAGTTACACTAACATGGGTGGGTTGTGTTTTAGAGAAGTAGTTACACTAACATGGGTGGGATTGTGTTTGAGAGAAGTCGTTACACTAACATGGGTTGGTTGTGTTTCAGAGAAGTAGTTACACTAACATGGGTTGGTTGTGTTTCAGAGAAGTAGTTACACTAACATGGGTGAGTTGTGTTTTAGAGAAGTAGTTACACTAACATGGGTGGGTTGTGTAGTTACACTAATATGGGTGGGGTTGTGTTTCAGAGAAGTAGTTACACTAACATGGGTGGGGTTGTGTTTCAGAGAAGTAGTTACACTAACATGGGTGGGTTGCGTTTCAGAGAAGTAGTTACACTAACATGGTCGGGTTGTGTTTCAGAGAAGTAGTTACACTAACATGGGTTGGTTGTGTTTCAGAGAAGTAGTTACACTAACATGGGTGAGTTGTGTTTTAGAGAAGTAGTTACACTAACATGGTCGGGTTGTGTAGTTACACTAACATGGGTGGGGTTGTGTTTCAGAGAAGTAGTTACACTAACATGGGTGGGGTTGTGTTTCAGAGAAGTAGTTACACACTAACATGGGTGGGTTGCGTTTCAGAGAAGTAGTTACACTAACATGGGTGGGTTGTGCTTCAGAGAAGTAGTTACACTAACATGGGTGGGGTTGTGTTTCAGAGAAGTAGTTACACTAACATGGGTAGGGTTGTGTTTCAGAGAAGTAGTTACACTAACATGGGTGGGTTGTGTTTCAGAGAAGTAGTTACACTAACATGGGTGAGTTGTGTTTTAGAGAAGTAGTTACACTAACATGGTCGGGTTGTGTAGTTACACTAACATGGGTGGGGTTGTGTTTCAGAGAAGTAGTTACACTAACATGGGTGGGGTTGTGCTTCAGAGAAGTAGTTACACTAACATGGGTGGGGTTGTGTTTCAGAGAAGTAGTTACACTAACATGGGTGGGTTGTCTTTTAGAGAAGTCGTTACACTAACATGGGTTGGTTGTGTTTCAGAGAAGTAGTTACACTAACATGGGTTGGTTGTGTTTCAGAGAAGTAGTTACACTAACATGGGTGAGTTGTGTTTTAGAGAAGTAGTTACACTAACATGGGTGGGTTGTGTAGTTACACTAATATGGGTGGGGTTGTGTTTCAGAGAAGTAGTTACACTAACATGGGTGGGGTTGTGTTTCAGAGAAGTAGTTACACTAACATGGGTGGGTTGCGTTTCAGAGACGTAGTTACACTAACATGGTCGGGTTGTGTTTCAGAAAAGTAGTTACACTAACATGGGTTGGTTGTGTTTCAGAGACGTAGTTACACTAACATGGGTGAGTTGTGTTTTAGAGAAGTAGTTACACTAACATGGTCGGGTTGTGTAGTTACACTAACATGGGTGGGGTTGTGTTTCAGAGAAGTAGTTACACTAACATGGGTCGGGTTGTGTTTCAGAGAAGTAGTTACACTAACATGGGTGGGTTGCGTTTCAGAGAAGTAGTTACACTAACATGGGTGGGTTGTGTTTCAGAGAAGAAGTTACACTAACATGGGTGGGTTGTGTTTCAGAAAAGTAGTTTCACTAACATGGGTGGGTTGTGTTTTAGAGAAGTAGTTACACTAACATGGGTGGGTTGTGCTTCAGAGAAGTAGTTACACTAACATGGGTGGGGTTGTGTTTCAGAGAAGTAGTTACACTAACATGGGTAGGGTTGTGTTTCAGAGAAGTAGTTACACTAACATGGGTGGGTTGTGTTTCAGAGAAGTAGTTACACTAACATGGGTGAGTTGTGTTTTAGAGAAGTAGTTACACTAACATGGTCGGGTTGTGTTTCAGAGAAGAAGTTACACTAACATGGTTGGGTTGTGTTTCAGAAAAGTAGTTACACTAACATGGGTGGGTTGTGTTTTAGAGAAGGAGTTACACTAACATGGGTGGGGTTGTGTTTCAGAGAAGTAGTTACACTAACATGGGTGGGTTGTGTTTTAGAGAAGTAGTTACACTAACATGGGTAGGGTTGTGTTTCAGAGAAGTAGTTACACTAACATGGGTGGGTTGTGTTTTAGAGAAGTAGTTACACTAACATGGGTGGGTTGTGCTTCAGAGAAGTAGTTACACTAACATGGGTGGGTTGTGTTTTAGAGAAGTAGTTACACTAACATGGGTGGGGTTGTGCTTCAGAGAAGTAGTTACACTAACATGGGTGGGGTTGTGTTTCAGAGAAGTAGTTACACTAACATGGGTGGGTTGTGTTTTAGAGAAGTAGTTAAACTAACATGGGTAGGGTTGTGTTTCAGAGAAGTAGTTACACTAACATGGGTGGGTTGTGTTTTAGAGAAATAGTTACACTAACATGGGTGGGGTTGTGTTTGAGAGAAGTAGTTACACTAACATGGGTTGGTTGTGTTTCAGAAAAGTAGTTACACTAACATGGGTTGGTTGTGTTTCAGAGAAGTAGTTACACTAACATGGGTGAGTTGTGTTTTAGAGAAGTAGTTACACTAACATGGTCGGGTTGTGTAGTTACACTAATATGGGTGGGGTTGTGTTTCAGAGAAGTAGTTACACTAACATGGGTGGGGTTGTGTTTCAGAGAAGTAGTTACACTAACATGGGTGGGTTGCGTTTCAGAGACGTAGTTACACTAACATGGTCGGGTTGTGTTTCAGAGAAGAAGTTACACTAACATGGGTGGGTTGTGTTTCAGAAAAGTAGTTACACTAACATGGGTGGGTTGTATTTTAGAGAAGTAGTTACACTAACATGGGTGGGTTGTGCTTCAGAGAAGTAGTTACACTAACATGGGTGGGGTTGTGTTTCAGAGAAGTAGTTACACTAACATGGGTGGGTTGTGTTTTAGAGAAGTAGTTAAACTAACATGGGTAGGGTTGTGTTTCAGAGAAGTAGTTACACTAACATGGGTGGGTTGTGTTTTAGAGAAATAGTTACACTAACATGGGTGGGGTTGTGTTTGAGAGAAGTAGTTACACTAACATGGGTTGGTTGTGTTTCAGAAAAGTAGTTACACTAACATGGGTTGGTTGTGTTTCAGAGAAGTAGTTACACTAACATGGGTGAGTTGTGTTTTAGAGAAGTAGTTACACTAACATGGTCGGGTTGTGTAGTTACACTAATATGGGTGGGGTTGTGTTTCAGAGAAGTAGTTACACTAACATGGGTGGGGTTGTGTTTCAGAGAAGTAGTTACACTAACATGGGTGGGTTGCGTTTCAGAGACGTAGTTACACTAACATGGTCGGGTTGTGTTTCAGAGAAGAAGTTACACTAACATGGGTGGGTTGTGTTTCAGAAAAGTAGTTACACTAACATGGGTGGGTTGTATTTTAGAGAAGTAGTTACACTAACATGGGTGGGTTGTGCTTCAGAGAAGTAGTTACACTAACATGGGTGGGTTGTGCTTCAGAGAAGTAGTTACACTAACATGGGTGGGTTGTGTTTTAGAGAAGTAGTTACACTAACATGGGTGGGGTTGTGTTTGAGAGAAGTAGTTACACTAACATGGGTTGGTTGTGTTTCAGAGAAGTAGTTACACTAACATGGGTGAGTTGTGTTTCAGAGAAGTAGTTACACTAACATGGTCGGGTTGTGTTTCAGAGAAGTAGTTACACTAACATGGGTGGGGTTGTGTTTTAGAGAAGTAGTTACACTAACATGGGAGGGTTGCGTTTCAGAGACGTAGTTACACTAACATGGTCGGGTTGTGTTTCAGAGAAGAAGTTACACTAACATGGGTGGGTTGTGTTTCAGAGAAGTAGTTACACTAACATGGGTGGGTTGTGTTTTAGAGAAGTAGTTACACTAACATGGGTGAGTTGTGTTTTAGAGAAGTAGTTACACTAACATCGGTTGGGTTGTGTTGCAGAGAAGTACTTACACTAACATGAGTGGGTTGTGTGTCAGAGAAGTAGTTACACTAACATGGGTGGGTTGTGTATCAGAGAAGTAGTTACACTAACATGGGTGGGTTGTGTTTTAGAGAAGTAGTTACACTAACATGGGTGGGATGTGTTTTAGAGATGTGGTTACTCACTCATGGACAGATACACTACGTTGGCTTCGCCGGTGAGTTCGAGGTTACATCCAGCATTGACACAGGCTGCCACAGTGTCTACAGTGTTGTTGAAGTAGTGGTGGGAGCCGATGATGTTTTCTATTGCCCCTTGATCGCTGACGACGTAGCCCTGGAATCCCCATTCTCCTCTAAGGATGTCCGTCAAGAGCCGTTTGTTGGCGCAAGCAGGTACACCATTAATGCTTGAAACAGAAGGGAGTGTAAAATACGGAAAAGATGAGGATTACGACCAGAGGAACGATGAGTAATATTAGCAGATGAAGATGAATAGTAGAAACAGAGGAACGGACGGGACCGATGACAGATGAACAGATGTAACAGGTGAGCAGAAAGGACAGAGGAACAGACGGGACAGGGGGGGACAGATGAAAAGAAGAAATAGATGGGACGGGAACAGAAGAGACAGAAGTAACAGAGGAACAGAAAAGACAGAGAAACAGAAGGATTAGAGGGAACAAAGGAACAGAAAGGACAGAGGTGACAGAGGAACAGAAAGGACAGAGGAGACAGAGAAACAGGAGGGGCAGAGGGGACAGAGGACAGAGGACAGAGGACAGAGGGACAAAGGGGACAGAGGAACAGAAGCATGATATTTTAATAATAAATGATGAGATGGAAGTGTGGAACATACCTGCCATAACTACACATGACGTAGGTTTCCTTCATTGACGCAAGTTCTACAGACACTAACCTGTCACACCTAGATTGGGTGTAATATGTTCCTGCTTTGACACATGTTCTGACAACACATACCTGTTATAACTGCACATATTGTATGTTCCTGCTTTGACACATGTTCTGACAACACATACCTGTTATAACTGCACATAATATTGTATGTTCCTGCTTTGACTCATGTACTGACAACACATACCTGTTATAACTGCACATAATATTGTACGTTACTGCTTTGACATATGTTCTGACAACACATACCTGTTATAACTGCACTTAAAATCGTATGTTCCTGCTTTGACACATGTTCTGACAACACATACTTGTTATAACTGCACATAATATTGTATGTTTCTGTTTTGACACATGTTTTGACAACACATACCTGTTATAACTGCACATAATATTGTATGTTCCTGCTTTGACCCATGTACTGACAACACATACCTGTTATAACTGCACATAATATTGTACGTTACTGCTTTGACACATGTTCTGACAACACATACTTGTTATAACTGCACATAATATTGTATGTTTCTGTTTTGACACATGTTTTGACAACACATACCTGTTATAACTGCACATAATATTGTATGTTCCTGCTTTGACGCATGTTCTGACAACACATACCTGTTATAACTGCACATAATATTGTATGTTCCTGCTTTGACACATGTTCTGACAACACATACCTGTTATAACTGCAGATAATATTGTATGTTCCTGCTTTGACGCATGTTCTGACAACACATACCTGTTATAACTGCACATAATATTGTATGTTCCTGCTTTGACGCATGTTCTGACAACACATACCTGTTATAACTGCACATAATATTGTATGTTCCTGCTTTGACACATGTTCTGACAACGCATACCTGTTATAACTGCACATAATATTGTACGTTACTGCTTTGACACATGTTCTGACAACACATACCTGTTATAACTGCACATAATATTGTACGTTACTGCTTTGACACATGTTCTGACAACACATACCTGTTATAACTGCACATAATATTGTATGTTCCTGCTTTGACGCATGTTCTGACAACACATACCTGTTATAACTGCACATAATATTGTACGTTACTGCTTTGACACATGTTCTGACAACACATACTTCTTATAACTGCACATAATATTGTATGTTTCTGTTTTGACACATGTTTTGACAACACATACCTGTTATAACTGCACATAATATTGTATGTTCCTGCTTTGACGCATGTTCTGACAACACATACCTGTTATAACTGCACATAATATTGTATGTTCCTGCTTTGACACATGTTCTGACAACACATACCTGTTATAACTGCACATAATATTGTATGTTCCTGCTTTGACGCATGTTCTGACAACACATACCTGTTATAACTGCACATAATATTGTACGTTCCTGCTTTGACACATGTTCTGACAACACATACCTGTTATAACTGCACATAATATTGTATGTTCCTGCTTTGACACACATGTTCTGACAACACATACCTGTTATAACTGCACATAATATTGTACGTTCCTGCTTTGACGCATGTTCTGACAACACATACCTGTTATAACTGCACATAATATTGTACGTTCCTGCTTTGACACATGTTCTGACAACACATACCTGTTATAACTGCACATAATATTGTACGTTCCTGCTTTGACGCATGTTCTGACAACACATACCTGTTATAACTGCACATAATATTGTACGTTCCTGCTTTGACGCATGTTCTGACAACACATACCTGTTATAACTGCACATAATATTGTATGTTCCTGCTTTGACGCATGTTCTGACAACACATACCTGTTATAACTGCACCTAATATTGTACGTTCCTGCTTTGACGCATGTTCTGACAACACATACCTCTTATAACTGCACATAATATTGTACGTTCCTGCTTTGACACATGTTCTGACAACACATACCTGTTATAACTGCACATAATATTGTACGTTCCTGCTTTGACGCATGTTCTGACAACACATACCTGTTATAACTGCACATAATATTGTACGTTCCTGCTTTGACGCATGTTCTGACAACACATACCTGTTATAACTGCACATAATATTGTATGTTCCTGCTTTGACGCATGTTCTGACAACACATACCTGTTATAACTGCACATAATATTGTATGTTCCTGCTTTGACGCATGTTCTGAAGGCGGGCAGGAAGGTTGTCCGCCAATCTCGTTCTGTGACCTAAGGGGAGATAATGGGGCACTCTAGTCTAGACATGTTTTTATTCTTGGCTTAAATATCCGGCTTCTCGCAACCGAAACACCAAGGAAAACAGAAAATTTATTTAGGATAAGCCATGTGGAGATCTGATTGAGTTTTTTTGGTAGAGATATCCGGTTAATAAATACAGACAGGGGATTTACAGCAGCAGACCTATTATACACGGATGCAGGCACATAGTCTAGTGGTGAAACCACGTGCTTCAGTGATACTGACACGTGGTTTATTGGTGATGACACATGGTTCACTTGTGATGACACGAGTTTTACTATTGATTGACACGTGAATTACTGTTGAAGACACGTGGTTTACTTACGTTGGCATTGAAGGACATCCTGCTGACGGGGATGTCCTCTGGGCCGGCGTACGCGTCGAAATGTTTACACCCAGCGTTCGCTCGGACATAGCGTGGATGGTCTCCCTGAAGACCCCACACGAAGTGGGCAGCGTACAGACCAGTCAGGTAGGGATCTTCTCCATACGTTTCCTGGCGATACAGAAACATGACTACGGCATAACTGACATGTATTTTATAACGTAACTACGGCATAGCTGACATGTATTTTATAACGGAACTGCGGCACACTTAACACGTATTTGGACAGGGACACATGACATCGGTTTAAGTGATATGCATTTGGGCACAATGAGATATGATAGCATTTGGGCACAATGAGATATGAAATCGGTATAACTGATATTCATTTGGGCGCAATGAGATATGACATCGGTATAAGTCATATGCATTTTGGCACAATGAGATATGAAATCGGTATAAGTGATATGCATTTGGGCACAATGACATATGAAATCGGTATAAGTCATATACATTTGGGCGCAATGAGATATGACATCGTTATAAGTGATATGCATTTGGGCACAATGAGATATGACATCGGTATGAGTGATATGCATTTGGACCTGGACCCAGGTGTCTTTTGCACAACTGACATCAACTTACACCTACCGATACAGATGTCTTTTGCACAACTGACATCAACTTACACCTACCGATACAAATGTCTTTTGCACAACTGACATCAACTTACACCTACCGATACAAATGTCTTTTGCACAACTGACATTAACTTAGACCTACCGATACAAATGTCTTTTGTACAACTGACATTAACTTACACCTACCGATACAGATGTCTTTTGCACAACTGACATTAACTTAGACCTACAGACACAGATGTCTTTTGCACAACTGACATCAACTTAGACCTACAGACACAGATGTCTTTTGCACAACTGACATTAACTTAGACCTACCGACACAGATGTCTTTTGCACAACTGACAGTAGGTGCAGGAGTACCTGACGTCCGGTGTACCTTGCCCACTTAACTGAACTCTTTGTACAACACTGATCTACTTAGTGACCAACTGAACCATTGTACAACACTGATTTACTGAGCGACCAACTGTAGGCTTTGTACAACACTGACCTACTTAGTGACCAACTGAACCATTGTACAACACTGACCTACTGAGCGACCAACTGAAGGCTTTATACAACACTGACCTACTCAGTGACCAACTGAAGGCTTTATACAACACTGACCTACTCAGTGACCAACTGAAGGCTTTATACAACACTGACCTACTCAGTGACCAACTGAAGGCTTTATACAACACTGACCTACTGAGCGACCAACTGAAGGCTTTATACAACACTGACCTACTTAGTGACCAACTGAAGGCTTTATACAACACTGACCTACTTAGTGACCAACTGAAGGCTTTATACAACACTGACCTACTCAGCGACCAACTGAAGGCTTTATACAACACTGACCTACTGAGCGACCAACTGAAGGCTTTATACAACACTGACCTACTTAGTGACCAACTGAAGGCTTTATACAACACTGACCTACTTAGTGACCAACTGAAGGCTTTATACAACACTGACCTACTGAGCGACCAGCTGAAGGCTTTATACAACACTGACCTACTTAGTGACCAACTGAAGGCTTTATACAACACTGACCTACTTAGTGACCAACTGAACTCTTTCTGTGGAAAATTTATCCACTAGGTGAGTGATCCTTTCATGATTCCTTATATAATTTCATGATAATGTGTGCCTGCTTCACTTGCGATCACTAAACATTCTATATCTCGTCCTAGGGATGTATACAACAAACATGTTGGGTAGGACCATCTATCATTTAAGTACACCTACCTCGTTCCTGCCCCACCGGGGATCGCGCATGATGTTGATGACGGGGCTGAAGCAGCTGATGCCCTTGTGGGTGCCGTACTGCTTGTTCTTCACGAAGTCATTGTACTTTCCTCGAACTTCTCTTCCTTACTCTGCCGCCTCTGCCACTTTGAACAAACCTCAGGGCTGCAAACTCCAAGACAACTTGTATGTATTTCAGACTTAATGTGTCCACATATGTGTAAGATAGGTGAGATCTCAGATTGTATATTTAGGTGTGGTCTATCCAACTGGCAAATGCGTTCCTCCATCCATACCCGCATAAAGCCATACATACCAGCCTCGGTCATCTTGTGGCATATCCATTCACACAAAGAATCTGTTAACTTCACAAGTTTGATAACAGTGACAAAGATCAATTGTCCACTGGTTTGTGTCTTGAAGAGGCAAAAAATAACCAATATTGCAATATAAACCAAACGATCATCCAATCAATTCTACATCACAACCCATATCCGACTACTCACTCCCCAGGCGGCCGCTAAACCCAGAGACTGAGGAAAGAGGAAGCGTAGCATTCCCGCCTCAACGTCTCCCCTCAGACACTCCGTGTTCCAGGAGTAGGGTCCCATGCCAAGTCTAGCTATGGGAGGGTTGGGCCATTGCCGGACTAGTGCCCCTTTCGTCATCTGGTACATGATCTCCCTGACCGTGAGGCGACCAACAAGGTCCTCCACACGCACTCGTCCCAGGACAGACTGGTGTTTCTGAAGGGGAAGTCGCCATGACAGGCGGTCAATACATATACCAAGACGAGGAGGGACGCAGGTCTGTCATGGCTCAGAAGTGACTCAGGTGTGCGTATTCTAAACTAATATACATGCTTTTGATATACGAGTCAGCACGTGGAAAGGCGTGCTGAGCCGAAAGCTAACAGTTGCGGTTTCAAGGACACTTGCTGACCTACAAACCGCCTTCAGAACACATTCTGAAAATACCGAACAGATTGCGAGATAACAAACAAGTACAAGTGTAGAGAGCAGTGGCCTTGTGTAGTATGACTATGACTTGTGTACTATCACAAGTGTGATGTGATGAGTGTTTAGCCACGGTCTCGTGTGTTGCTGACATCAGGCTTTCTGGGGGTGATATGGCATGTCGTGTTGCTGACATCAGGCCTTCTAGGGGTGATATGGCATGTCGTGTTGCTGACATCAGGCCTTCTAGGGGGGATATGGCATGTCGTGCTGCTGACATCAGGCCTTCTGGGTGTGATATGGCATGTCGTGTTGCTGACATCGGGCCTTCTGGGGGTGATATGGCATGTCGTGTTGCGGACATCTGGCCTTCTGGGGTGATATGGCATGTCGTGTTGCTGATATCAGGCCTTCTGGGGTGATATGGCATGTCGTGTTGCTGACATCGGGCCTCTGGGGGTGATATGGCGTGTCGTGTTGCTGATATCAGGCCTTCTGGGGGGGTGATATGGCATGTCGTGTTGCTGACATCAGGCCTTCTGGGGTGATATGGCGTGTCAAGTTGCTGACATCGGGCCTTCTGGAGGTGATATGGCATGTCGTGTTGCTGACATCAGGCCTTCTGGGGGTGATATGGCATGTCGTGTTGCTGACATCAGGCCTTCTGGGGGTGATGCGCCGTATCATGTCGTTGCTGACATCAGGCCTTCTGGGGTGGATATGGCGTGTCGTGTTGCTGACATCAGGCCTTCTGGAGGTGATATGGCGTGTCGTGTTGCTGACATCAGGCCTTCTGGGGGTGATATGGCATGTCGTGTTGCCATCAGGCTTTCTGACATCAGGCCTTCTGGGGTGATATGGCATGTCGTGTTGCTGACATCAGGCCTTCTGGGGTGATATGGCATGTCGTGTTGCTGACATCAGGCCTTCTGGGGGTGATATGGCATGTCGTGTTGCTGACATCAGGCTTTCTGGGGTGATATGGCGTGTCATGCTGCTGACATCAGGCCTTCTAAGGGGTGATATGGCATGTCGTGTTACTGACATCAGGCCTTCTGGGGGATATATGGCATGTCGTGTTGCTGACATCAGGCCTTCTGGGGGTGATATGGCATGTCGTGTTGACATCAGGCCTTCTGGGGGTGATATGGCATGTCGTGTTGCTGACATCTGGGCCTTCTGGGGGTGATATGGCATGTCGTGTTGCTGACATCAGGCCTTCTTGGGGTGATATGGCATGTCGTGTTGCTGACATCAGGCCTTCTGGGGTGATATGGCGTCGTGTTGCTGACATCGGGCTTTCTGGGGTGATATGGCATGTCGTGCTGCTGACATCAGGCCTTCTGGGGGTGATATGGCATGTCGTGTTGTTGCTGACATCAGGCCTTCTAGGGTGATATGGCATGTCGTGTTGCTGACATTAGGCCTTCTGGGGTGATATGGCATGTCGTGTTGCTGACATCAGGCCTTCTGGGGTGATATGGCATGTCGTGTTGCTGACATCAGGCCTTCTGGGGTTGATATGGCATGTCGTGACAATGTTGGGGGTGACATCAGGCCTTCTAGGGGTGATATGGCATGTCGTGTTGCTGACATCAGGCTTTCTGGGGGTGATATGGCATGTCGTGTTGCTGACATCAGGCCTTCTAGGGGTGATATGGCATGTCGTGTTGCTGACATCAGGCTTTCTGGGGGTGATATGGCATGTCGTGTTGCTGACATCAGGCCTTCTAGGGGTGATATGGCATGTCGTGTTGCTGACATATGGCAAATACTTAACACTCATTCTCAATAACGGGGTACAAATGCTGTCACCGCCATGCTTCCCTTAAACTTATTTAGCAAATGTTATTATCATTATCGTTGGATAATGGTACCAACATGGCCAACATCCAACAGTCCAATAACCCCAAAAGTCTATTTGTTACAGCTAAGGTAATCGGTCAATTTAATTAACTGACTTTGCATCTCAACTTTATGTGAGCACATTAGGAAATTGATATTGGTCAAAGGTCTCATTGTCTGCCAATTGTTAAGTCAATGCATTCTTTTCAGATAAACGAATGTGGTCTCATGCCATGTCGCCAGTGTTGAGGAAATATCCGTGACTAATTTTCAGCTGGACATGTACATGTGTAGAAAACGAAGCATAATCTTACTCATTCACTTTGAATGAATACACTTTGTGTTTACATTAATGGCATTTGCCATTATTTGGAGCTAAGAATATTTCTCTGCATAACACATCTCAGTACATACAACATGTTCCATGCGTAGAAATAAAAGTAAAATTAACGTTTCCACTTCTAAAGTAGGGAATTGTGCTCGTTTTCAAATAGTTTAAGTTACATTTATGATATGCTAACATGCTTTTGATATATACGATTTAGCAACACAAACAAATATTGCAGATACATTACGCACCAGAGGAACGTTGTACAGCTACAGTCAATGCAGAAGCTCCCTGAAATCCGTCAAGCAAAACGCAGGCGATGCTGCCTTGGGAAGCAGATGCGGTCCTGTGGCCTTTCTATTCATGTGGAACGACATCGCACCCAGAGAAATCATGTCAGTGCACTAGTGGAGACCACAAAACGTGGCTACTTTAAGGACATGCTGCACAATGTCAAGGGAGAAAAAAAGATAGGCTTATGCTGTCACCAATAAGCTCCTGTTCAGACAGAACAAGACACTGTTACCATCCTCTGTTTCAGGGGCTGCACTATTCACCTTTTTCTCTGACTACTTCATTGTTAAGATTATCAATATACCATTAACTTTGTCGAATCAAAATGCATCTTATCACGTTTGTAGTCCACTACAAATCGATAACGACAGTAAATGTAATTTGAATTATTTTGTCCCACCAACGAACAAGAAGTGCAAACATTCGTACAGCAGTCTCCCAACAGATGCTGTCAACTTGACCTGATGCCAACATGGCTCCTGAAGACCTGTATGCATGCTGTGGCTCCAAGGAGCTTGCCTGTGGAGTTCCACAAGGATCTGTTTTAGGCCCCCTGTTATTCACAGTTTACACCTGCCCGTAGACATAGCCAGTCTTTCCGTCCACCTTTACGCTGATGACACACAGTTGTATCTGTCCTTCAAAGCCAACTTGTCGCCTGTCATCCACTAGAGCATTTGCGCAAATTGTCAGCTACTAACAGGCAATCAAGCATTGATAACAACTCTAACGCGTACAGAATTTTGCTGCTAGACTTGTCTCCAGATCACAGAAATACTTTCACATAACTCCTGTTTGGCAGAGATTACACTGGCTTCCTTATCAGACAGAATCCAACACAAACTCAACATTGTTTTTCAAAGCGTCTCAATAACCCAGCTCCAAAGTATCTACCTGACCTGGTCACCAGATATCAGCACAACCGAAGTCTCCGGTCTGGAACATCTTAGTCTCCGTGTACCAGGTTTGGGGATCGATCATTTCAGGTGGCAGGACCCATTCTCTGGAATCAACTTCCACTTGAGTTAAGGACAATTAACAACCTGAAGATTTTCAAATCTAAACTGAAGACATACCTTTTTAAGAAAACATACAGTTTCTAACTTTACATTCTCGAGTTGTTCGGAGACCGCTCCTGAGAAGTACTGTTGAACTGGAACTGGCGACATGTTTTTAAAATGATGATGATTTAGAACATGAAGTATGCCAGATCGGAAAAGAAAAACAAATATTCAAAGCTTATGTGTGGTTAATGGTAACTTACTGCTTGATTTGCCAGATTATGTATTCTCCGTTACTGTAATGTTCGTTACCAGGGTATTCATCGCTTTGTGAAGCTCTGATACTGAAATGTTCAAGTTACCAGGCTATTATTCGGAAACTACATAGCTTGTGAAGCTCTGATACTGAAATGTTCGTTACCAGGCTATTCTTGAAACTACATCGCTTTGTAGAAGCTCTGATACTGAAATGTTCGTTACCAGGCTATTCGATAGCTACATAGCTTGTGAAGCTCTGATACCGAAATGCCCGTTACCAGGCAATTCGAAACTACATCGCTTGTGAAGTTCTGATATCGAAATGTTCGTTTTCAGGGTATTCGAAACCACATCGCTTGTGAAGCTCTGATACGTCGAAATGTTCGTTACCAGGTTATTCGAAACTACATCATCGCTTGTGAAGCCTTTTGATACTGAAATGTTCGTTACCAGGCTATTCGAAACCACATCGCTCAGAAGCTTTGATACCGAAATGTTCGTTACCAGGTTATTCGAAAACTACATCGTCGCTTGGTGAAGCTCTGATATATCGAATGTCGCGCCACCAGGCTATTCGAAACCACATCGCTTGTGAAGCTCTGATACTCGAAATGTTCGTTACCAGGCTATTCGGAAACTACATCGCTTGTGAAGCTCTGATACTGAAATGTTCGTTACCAGGCTATTCGAAACTACATAGCTTGTATTGACTCTGATACTGAAAATGTTCGGTACCAGGGTATTCTGAAACTACATAGCTTGTGAAGCTCTTATTACCGAAATGTTCGTTACCAGGCTATTCTCCTCGAAACCACGCCGCAGAAGCTCTGATACCGAAATGCTCAAATGTTCGTTACCAGGCTATTCGAAACTACATCGCTTGTGAAGCTCTGATACTGAAATGTTCGTTACCAGGCTATTCGAAACTACATGGCTTGGTGAAGCTCTGATACGATTTTCAAATATCACGTGATTCTATCCTGTCTGGGAAGTCAAAGAGGATTTATACTATCACCTAACACTTACAAATGAGATCCATCTGAAATAGGAAGTATTTCATTTCAAACTACAAAACTGACACCATCACTTACTGTTTAATTATTATTCACGTTTCGGGGTTTTACAATGTAATGTCACTCTGTATTTGACAAGACAGACCTACAATTAGGCAATAGAAAAATTACCATAACATCAATAGCAGCCTCAAGGAACATTTCATCCTAGTAACGGATATTTCTGTCGCTTCGATTGGATTAAAATTGAGCTGCAGTCCTATATTTCCAGAATTTTCGTTGCTAGTCTAATGTTAAGTAATTACAGTATCATTACTTGAAATTTATACCCCAAAAAGATTGAATGATAATAAGTAGATTTGAGAATAGTTTATTTTTCTGCCTTGAAACAATTTAGACTTATGAAAATAATGTCGATTTCTAGTTTGCAAAAAATAGCTCCAAAAAATGCTTATTAAATCTTAAATATGGTTGCATTCAGTTTTCAGTATCTTGAAATCTGTCCAGTTTAAGTTTATTTGAGGACAAGACAGTGTTTTTTAAGGCATGACGATGTTCGTTACCTATATAGTGGTTTTATACATAGTGGTTGGAAAACTATTAAATCATGTTTCGTCCTTAAATAGATGACACATATGTTTCCTGATTGAACTTTCAGAGGATTTGAAAGTATTTGTCGCTTCATGGCATTTGTTTCATGTGTATCCTGCGTTCCTAAAGTTTGCTTCCATACAGTTTGGTCAATGTTTGCAAGTTCAGTGTGTTTTATCCCGCACTGTATGTGTCACATTATGTCAAGATAACACAGTTTAACTGTTTAATATTACAGGGTGTTGACGGTAATGGAACCCGTTCCTTTATGTCAAGATAACACAGCGTAACAGTTTAATATTACAGGGTGTTGATGGTAATGGAACCCGTTCCATTATGTCAAGATAACACAGCGTAACAGTTTAATATTGCAGGGTGTTGATGGTAATGGAACCCGTTCCATTATGTTAAGATAACACAGCGTAACAGTTTAATATTACAGGGTGTTGATGGTAATGGAACCCGTTCCTTTATGTTAAGATAACACAGCGTAACAGTTTAATATTACGGTAATGGAACCCGTTCCTTTATGTTAAGATAACACAGCGTAACAGTTTAATATTACAGGGTGTTGATGGTAATGGAACCCGTTCCTTTATGTTAAGATAACACAGCGTAACATTTTACTATTGCAGGGTGTTGACGGTAAGGCCATCCACATTTTTTTTATGTTTCTCATCTCCAAACTGGTGCTGATGAGGGGCGGGCGGGCGAAAAAAAGCAAACAAAAAAAGCACAAAAAGCAGTTTGCCATCTTCTTTTCAAGCTGGTGACAGAAAATGACCCTACTACAGTACCCAGACCATAACAAAGAGTATATATATTGAAATCCTGAGAGAATGCATATATTGATTCTTAATTAAATAC